TTTCCTCTACTATGCACTGGTGAGATCACACCTTAAGTACTATGCTCTGTTTTGGGTCCCTCACTACAAGAAGGACTGAGTTGCTGTGGAATGCATTCAGAGAAAAAGTAACAAAGCCAGTGAAGGGTTTTAGAAAACAAGATGTCACAGGAGTTAAGTTAGTGGGTTAGCATGAAGAAGAGGCTGACTGGAGATCTTGCCCTCTACAATTACCTGAAAGGAAGCTGCAGTGCAGTGTCAGTCTCTTTTGTCAGATGACAACAGCACAGAATGCCTCAAGTTGTGCATGGAGAGGTTTAGGTTAGATGTCAGTTTCTTCATGGAAAGACTGGTTAGGCATTAGAACAGGCCAGGGAAGTGGGTGGTCCCTATCTATGGGAGTATTTAACAAACATGTGGATGTCATGCTTGGGAACATGATTTAGTAGTGGAGTTGGTAGTGTTGTTATAATTGGACTTGACGATCTTGATGGGTCTTTTCCAACCTAAATTATTCTATATCAGGCTGACTAACATCCCCCCCCGAGGGTCTGCAAATAAGTTTACAGTGGTCTCATCTGCCTGTTCCTCCCAGTCAGGTGGCCTGTAATACCCACTACGCATCACCCTCATCTCCTCTTTACTCCTTACCAAAAATGTCTCAGCTTATTATCCATCCCCAGGCAAAGCTCCATGTATTTAAATTGCTGTGTCACAAAGGGAAACTACACCTCTTCATCTTCCCAGTCAGCCTTTTCTAAAGAGCATTTAATTCTGTCAGAACACTCCACTCATGGTGCCATCCAACCACGTCTCCCTGATTCTGAGGAGACTACAGCCTTGCTGCTGTACCTAAGTCACTGTTTCATTATGTTTGTTCACTGCACTGCGTACATTCCAGTACATGGACCCCAAAGATACACTTCAGCATGCTAATTTCCCAGTAGAGGCTTTTTAGATTTCTCCTGACTGTCTTGTATAAACTTCCTTGCTTACATCCCTGCTAGAGATCCCTGTTTCATCACTTCTGTGATCTCTTTGTGATACTGCCCCAGGTCTTTCATTTATCAACCCTGTCCATCACACCCTCAGTGAGCTGCTGGTAGCTTTCTCTCTACCTCCTCCTCCTTCTGAGGTCACCCATTCTGCTGACAAAGAGACCCTCACCTCACATAGTAAAATGGAGCCTCTCTCCCTTGCTCATCTGCAAATGGGGATCCCTGGTCATAGAATCCATAACGGTGTTTACAGCCAATTATTGACCTTCCTATGAGCGTTCCTCAACTCTTTACATCCTTGTAAAATTAACTGTATGTAATATAAACATATAGGTTTGTATGTAGAATTAATATGGTCATAATTTCAACAGTTCACAACTGCCATTTATGGACTTGATTAAAATAAGCACTTCACTGTTTAGAATAAAGTATATACAGAATAATCTGAATGGGTTATTGGATTAAATACTCTATTTTAACAAGTGTATTAATTGAAGGCTGGCAGCAAGGCAATACTGTGAAATTAGCCTTAGTCTGAAATGAAAGAAACCTGAATTCTGAATAGAGTTTTCAACTGTTAAAAAAAGAATTTACTCAGACAAAGGAAAAACTTAACTCTTTAAAGAACCAAAACACATTGAAAACCAGAATAACATCCATAATGATTACATTTAAGTGAAGCAAAAATACTCTGAACGCTATCCAAAGGACATAATGGAAATTAAGTACCCCAAACTCCTAGTGCTCACGATGCAATTTATGTCTAATTTAACTGTGAAAGGTAGCCAACGACTTTCAGTAACAGTTATATTCCTAATTTCTCTGCATTAGCCTCGAAAAGATATCTTAAAATCTTCTGAAAGATGAGACAAATCTCGCTTGCCCCTTTACAAAACTATTTAACATTTACATTAGTATAAAAAAAATCACTGTAATACACAGCACAAAGTTAAAGAATACCAACAATAATCATTTTTAGATGTGTTTATCATTAAAATTGATTTAAATTGATTTCATTGATTTAAAAATACTAACTTTTTTAGAGTCAGAAGAGCAACCCACTTACTGGAAAAATACTACAAAGCTTTCATGGTAAGTAGTTGAGAAGAACTTGAATTCTCGAAATTGTTACTGCACAAGATGAGCCAGTGTACAAATTTATATAATTTTGTGAATTAGTTCCAACTGAGAAGAGTGACACACTAAATACAAATATCAAAACTGAACAAGAAAATTCAAAAGCAAGAGACGCAGAATCTGCTTCTAGATTATTCCACAATCTTAAGAAGCATCCCTCTCTGTGCTTAGCAAACATTCCTATTATTTAAAGCTTTCAAAATACTTAATGAAACTCTTAACAGCATTCCACAATCCTAATTCACACGTGCTTTTCTGAAAGAAAAAGTTTTAAAGTATTGAAGTATTGCCAAAACCAAACCTTTTTATACAGCAATATGTAAAAAAGACTTCACCAAAATGGTATTTCAAAAGAAAAAGCAATACATTTTTACATCTGTAAATGTGATAGAAACTAGTCTGCCTCCCGACTGCAAATACCCACATGCTTGTTACATCAGCTAGTTTATTCTACATTTTCACCACGTGGTACTAGGTGAAGTAGGTTGCATAAATTCATTCATTTTGTGAATTCAAGTAGCCTAAAGCTGTTTGAGGAATGCTGTGCTCACAAAACGTGCATCAGGACAATTCAAAATAAAGCAAGGCAAGAGCCAACTGCCTCCTGAGGAACACCTGGCATTTCAAAGCTTGACAGGCAGCCTCAGTAGCACAAGGCACTTCCCTGTGCAATTTTTTCATCTTAATCCAGGCAACTATGCTGTGTGTTAGAAGTGTTACATAGCTAGACGTCTACCTACGGTGGAGACATTGTCTCCTAGATTTTTTTTTGTTCTTATTTCTGCATCTCAACTACAAAAACCATTTATGTTACTCTAGAGTGGTTGTGGAAAAAAACCAAAAAAAAACAAAAAAAACAGTGAGACGAGCTGAGTAATGATGGTAACAAATTTCAGCATGTAGAACTGTATCTCTGGAATCACTGCAGCAACCACTTACGCACCTGATATATCAAAAACAGGTTTCAGGCAAAATAGTACTTTGCCAACGTTTTATCTCAGTCATATTATATGCACTGCACATAGATGTCAAAACCTTGAAGTATGTACAGAAGTCACCAAGCAAGTGAGTCTGCAACAACACTGGGTTCAGCAGCACTCATTGTTCCTTTCTGACTAATGGGCCTTCTATTTTTATATTCTACTGTCAGATGCATGAAGGATACCAACATCAGTATCAAGACAGACTCAGTGAAGGCAACTCACACAACAAAGAATCTTTGTCATGCTAGTACAATCCAGAATTATCAAGCACAACAGTCACACTGGTGAAGAACGCTCAGTAGAAAGGTATGATATCCTAACTGAAGTACTTACCTAATTAAAGCATAATTCCATGAAATCTTTGGTCTGGCTATAAAAGTTACACACTTCAGATGCCATAATAGCAGCCATAAACAACGCAGAAAAAACGTCTCATTTATGTTTTCCACACTTAGAACAAAAAGTAGAAAAACCCTTCTACAGCATGAGATACACGGCAAGAATCACAAGAGTTAAGCCATGTAGACAAATTGCTACATCTTCAGGTGTAGATCAGAAAAAACTGTCCAAAGTTCCCTTTTTTTTGTTATCAGCAAGAAAATCTGTTTTAACTTGAAGCAATTGTTTCCTCACAAAGTATACCTGCTGACAAAACTTCAGTAATACAGATTACTATTCTGATTTTCAGTTTTCCCTCTAGTCCTAGGTTTGATCTAACTGAACTTCAGGGTTTTCTTAGACCAGTTCATCATCTTTAGCTGTGTTCAGTGCTTGCTCAAATTATTTTTCTACCCATTAAACACATCAGTGACAAACTCAAGATGTATTTAACTACAGTAAATTCCAGTTAAAATTACAGAAAGGATTTGCTACCTGTAGGTTCAAATAATGAACCACTCCACAGACATAAAGAATTGCTTATTACTTGTTAAGAATGTATTTCATGTAGCCATCATTAATATCCACAGTAAAATTTGAACTTGGGTGACCTACCCACTGCATGTCACATACTCCAGCTTTGGTAATTCTCTATAACTAGGACAGCTCTATGACTGACATATTTATATGAGCTTACAAAACTCAGTGAAACTGAGCCCTGAGGTCCCAGATGTTCTTTACATACAGAGTTTGTGTCCCTCTACTTCTGGTCTGAACCATTTGTCTGTAAACCTGACCTGGGGGCATAAAACTAATAAGATCTGGGGTGGATGTGAAGAGGATAGAAAAAAGGGCCTATGATGTTTCTGTCAGACTAATTAAAAATACAGACTCAGAAAAATGCCTGATGTAAATAAGATACTGGCATTACCCAGGCAAAATACTGCAATGAATGTCACAAGTGAAAAGGACAAGATTAGAATCAGTATTCTGTGGTGTAGGCTGCCAGATAATCAAAAGCTTAAGCCAACATATTAGTTTGAATATTTTACAGGTAAATGAGACAACTTACTTAAACTCCTATCTTTAGGAGTGACTTAAAACTCAATTTGAAAAACAAATACTAACTTGGCAAATTTACAAATATTAGAAGTAGGTTATTTTTTCCCCATCTTCCCATCTACTTTAAATATTTATCTTGTGACACACTAAAAGACCATATGCTTTCAATGGAACCTGACAAAGTCAAATACACTGCCCCTGTTCCATTCGTTAATGATAAACTTTGACCCCCATACCTAATTCAAGAAATCCTTAACTTTTTTAAATTGTTATCCCAAGAAATACAAACACTAACAGCAGAAAAAAATGCAATAAAATGTCTTGATAAATGAAAAAATACTTGATTTATACTTCTGACTCACTGTTAATTAAGCAGATCTGTAGTCCTATTTTTCTTATATTGTTTCATGTAACAACAACTGAATACTGTATAAATAACTGTTACCAGACAAGTTGTATTTACCTCTTTGATTTTGTTCCTCTTCTCTCGAATATCTGGGTCTGCTGGTTCTCCACTGTTTATCCCTATAAGATTTGGTAAAGGAACAGGGGGCAGTGGCTTGCTGTCTTTCTTTCTCAGTTCTTGCACTACTTTGTTCTTCTCAGTCTGAATCTCAGCTTGAATCTCATCACGCGATTTCTTCAATTTCTCCTTTGCCTCTTCCAGGGCTTTTTCATGATCTGCTCGGATCTTATTTCTCAGACGCTCTTCTTCTTCTCTAGAGACACAAATGCTAGTCAGCAACTCTTTACTAAAAAATACATCGGTTATAAACAAATTGCAGCTTCAAAAGTGAAGCCATATTCCAAGTTGGTTTACTTGGAATAATTCTAGTGATTCTGACAAGTTTCTACACTATTTTTGCAATGAATCTCAGAAGATAAGTAGTACACATTATACAGCATTGTGAGAAAAGTTTTCTGAATTACACCTTTGCTCATCTACTCAAGAATTTAGAAAGTGAAAAGGCCTACATCCTGTACTTCAGTTACAGGATGTGTGCATAAGAGCATCTAACAACCAATTGGTATTAAAAATATAATAATATAATCAATATTCAATTAATCAATATATCAATAATCAAATATAATCAATGATATAATCAAAGGGGTTCTTCCTCGCCTTCTACACAAGTACATACGTAAAGATCTGAAGTAATGGCTACAGAAAACTGCACTACTCCCTTTACGAGCAATGAAGTCGCAGCATTAACTGCGATCCCAACACGTTATGTTCTGTCTTTTATTTGATGTTTTTCATTCCAAACAGTATGGTCTATAAACCTCACAAGTTAAAGGCAGAGAATTATAAAGCAATTTAAGAACATACAGGCTTCTAGTAAAGTATGACTTTGAAAATCACTGTTGCCGAAGCCAACAACAACTTGTTCAAACACATCTTCCATTGTGATCTTTAATGAACAACAGAAGTTGAGTTTCAGACAAAAAAATAAAGATTACTGTCTTAAAGTTGGTGTTGAGAGGTCATTCTAATGACAAATGAAAAAAGACCTAAAAATACATCAAGGCAAGGAAAAATATACATTAGACTCCCAATTTAACACAATCATTTTACACTTAAAAGGATACAGAGTTGTTCAATAACTATGTAAGACAAGACAGTTGAGGGGACTGAAACAATATACTCTTCCTTCTGACACTCGACAAAAATGCTTATTCGTCAAAAAAGATTAAGGAGGAAGATAGTGAATAACAGAAAGCAAAGATGGCACGCAGCATACCAAGTCAGAAATACCAAGTCAGATATACCAACCAGGGCCTAACAGCTTCTAGAAGTTGTCCTAAATCACATCTTCTTTCAACACACTGAAAAAGTATTGCCCCCAACAAAAGGGGGCAAACACCACTTCACAGAAGACAATCAAAAGCCAATCCAAAATTCAGAGAAAACAGAAACACTAGATCAACAATTGTCAATTATATACTTACAAAGAAAAGGCTTTTTTTCCTATAAAGCTCATTAAAAATATCTGGCATCTATTATAAACTAGTAACATCCCAGAGATTCAATCAAAGTATCAGATTGAGGTGCTGTGCTAGAATATTTATGTTGCAATATTTAGGGATATGGACAGACTTCACCAAGCTTTCAAAGCATAGCAAAACAGTTTTTATTAAGCTCATACATCAAGACCATGTCCTGTTGATTACAGAACACTGCTTCTTTACATCTTTACCAAAAAGAAGTCAAAGAATAAAGCCAATATGTTGTTTTATACAAGGGCTGCTATGAAAGTGATGTCTCCTATTTTATTATGTTTGCCCAAACATCAGAGGCAGATGGTGGTACAGTAGTAGAGCCTGAACCTTCCCATCAGTATTTCATTGCATTTTGTTGTCATGTAGCAGACAGTAGCAGAGGGGCAGTCTGACAAAATGCAATCTGACATGGAAGTGTCAAATGAAGCAAAGGTGTGGAACTGAACACCTCCACATGGAAAAATGACACTCAGTGACATCTACTGATGCTTACTAAATGTTTATGGAGACCAAATAGTCGATGTGAGCACAATGATGTAGTGGGTGGTGCATTTTAGCAGTGGGAACAACAATGTGAAAGACAAGTCATGTTCCAGTCATGTGCAGCTGTTATACCACAAAATGAAGAGTGCCTCAATCAGCTCATCTGTGCAAATTAGCAGATTATTACCAGGAAACTGCATTGAAGCCAACGTTCATGCATCAGAAACTATGGCGGCAATCTTGGAACACTACAAGGCTTGTGCCAGGTGGGTCCCACAAATGCTGACACAGAAACAGAAAGAACACCATATCCAAGTTTTTCAGGACCTACTGAACCAACACAAGGCTGAAGGTGACAGCTTTCTAGATCACATAATTGCTAGTGACAAGACATAACGCCACCACTATTAACCAGATTCAAAACAGCAGTCTGCAGAGTGATTATGTGAATTCCCCATCAAAGAAAACATTCAAGCAGCAGCCTTCAGTGAGTAAAGTGATATGCACTGTCTTTCAGAATAGGAAGAGAGTGAGCTTTCTAGATTCCCTGGAATCCATCAACTCTGACTGCAAAACCACACCACTGACTAAGCTGAAGGCACAAATTTCCAGAGTCAGGCCAGAGAAGACAACCTCTCTCTTACCAGACAATAACGCCTGGCCCCATACTAGTTTGACGACCATGGAGCATACTGCCAGTTTTGGCTGGACTGTCCTACCATACTAACAGTATAGTCCAAATTTGGCACCTCCTGACTTCCACCTGTTTGGGCCAATAAAAGATGGACTACATGGGCAACATTTTCCTAGCAGTAACATCCACACATCAGGTGTGAAAGTGAGGGGGAAGGGGAAAAAAAAAAATCATCTCTGCTGCTGCTTTCTTTTTTTAATGACTATGGCATGCAGGCTCCTAATCATTGCTTATGAAAATACATAGCTAGTGGTAGACTTTGTTTAGAAATAGAGTTCTGTAGCAGAGAACTGGTTCTACCAAACAGTATTATTGTTCTCTTTGTATATGTTGCAGTTGCTACTGATATAAACAAAAGGCATTACTTTTGGAGCAACCTACATGTTTTAGAAGAAAGTAATTCTGCTCTTTCTAAACTGACTAATGCATTTTTAATAATGACTACTGGGATGTTTCAAGTACCAATATAATGTGTGTCTTACAGGAAGGATTTAAAAAATTCAAGAAGCCATATCTCAAACCTGAGGAATCAAGGCACTTTATATTTAAAGATTTTGCCAGATAATTTACAGAACTGGAATGATTTGAACTGGGGCAGAAAAACAGCCCACAAATGAAAAATCAAAATATTTTAGCAACAATTAAGACTAGTCTAAGGATGTGCTTTTCCTGAGGTATACATAGCAACCTGTTAAATCAGTCTTGATTGACTGAAACTTGACCTGCTACCCTAAAATGATAAGGCTGAATGAAACAATCACATTTACTGGTTTAAAAGCTGGTCTGATCTAAACAGTACCCTCATTAATATGATCCGGCTACTGCACATCAATATTCAGATTTCCAAAAGAAAGTACAGCAGGTATCCTTCAGAACTACATACTAAGCATGCTTCTTAAGAAGGACACAGCAGATCACATAACAGTTTAAGAATGGAAATAAATCCAAAATGTTGGCTTTGACAAAATTTAAGTAGTACCAACATTTTCATCACTGTGAAGAAGAAAATGGCACTCAAGCAGACTAGAGCGGGAAGAAGCTCGTTACACTCCTGCTGTGGAACCTGCCAAACTGACCAGTTTAATTAGTGCAAAATAGATGAAGCCAAAGGAGAAGAACAAGAAGTCACCAACTTTTCCTGATGCTTCAAATGCATCATTTTGGAAACTGGAATCTTAAAGTATTAAAGCAACAATTACAGTCTACATTTTATAACAGAAAAGAGATGTAAAGTAAGGACCACTATGTTTTGAAATGCACTAGTTAATGCAAGCTTATGTTTAGAGGAACATTCGGGCCAAAGTATCACTCCACGTAGATGATACAAAGCATGCTGAAATACTTCAATGAAATGTTAATGTATTAACTTGCATTTTCTGATTTTTAAACAATTTACAGTTTTTGTTAAAAGCTACTTTCAAAAGTCAACTTAAGCTAAAGATACCTAGAAGATTTAGAGATTCCACTTCATAAAGCAATTACACAATATTAGCAACACACATTATTTAACAGTCCGTAAGGATACTAGTTGTCAAATTCAGATAAATATTTGTATCATTTAGTTTAATACTATCATACCAATTCCTGGGGACTGTTCCATTTTGAGGAAAGTGTATGACTATTAGCAGCTATCTCCCTAAGGATTCTCTACATCAAAGTGTAGTAAATCCAACTTTCAGTTCCAGAAATTAACAGTTCAAACTCCGAGTGTACTAGTCTGGACTGTTATCACTAAATATCCAGTCTATTTTTTAAGTTAGAATTTATACATCCCTTGGCTCCAGTCTTCAGTTCACAAAAGCTCAAGGTCTTTTTTTAAACGCACATTTAATTCTCAATTTAATGAAATCTGACATCACTTGATAATGTGAATGTTCTCAGCAAAATGTTTTGTTACACCAACTGCCATATTAGCACTTAGTTTTTTCTTCTTTTTTCTGATTAGGCTTGCATTAAAAAAAGAAAAATAGTAGCATTATTGCCTTCTTATATTTCAGAATGATAAATGATGCAATGTTTTAACGAATGCATTCACTGAAAGGCTTTCAAACTGAAGTTCTTGAGCCTTTTTTATCAGTATCATCCATAGCACATTCACATTTCACTTAAACAATGTAAAATGACTCAGCTTCTTTTTATATCAAATTCAATCTCATTAATACTGCTGAACAGTTAACAGTTCTTCATTCCTTCAAATGTAGTACAAAGAAACAACTTTCAGAGTTGCTAAACATTATCATAAAAAGAGAAAAAGACTTTTACATTATCCATGATCCGCTTGTGGAAGACAGTAACTGTCTCGCAATTATATAAAAACTGCTCATACTCTAATGTGGCAGCAATGCTCTTGTTTCAGTAATGGATGAAGCTGAAAATGTGTATCAGTTTTTAAATCTGAAACCAGAATCTGTAGTCCTGAAAGCTTTTCCAAAGTGTTTTGATTCTTAAATGTTCAGTGAGCAGTTCATGTATTTGGTAAGTATGTTTCTCCTATTCAAAACGCAGCTTCTGCAGACCAGCAATAGCCTATCTTCTGTCAAG